CGCAGCAATCGGATCCTGCGTCCCATCGAACTCAGGGGGTTTCGTGTTGCTGAATTCCCGGAACAGCAACGAATCGCCCCCTTGCGGCCTGGCAGCGCCACAGCTGCGGTAGCGCAGCGGCTGCAGCCTCAGTCAGTGCGGCGTACCGCTCCTCAAACGTCTCCATCAGTGTGGTCTTAATAGACCCAAACATCTCCGGGATCTCAGCCCGGATCGCTGCAGCTACTCCTCCTGAATCATTCTGACGAATTCCTCGTCACTCACACTGCTCGAACTCGCCCCATGACGTGTGGTAACCATGATGTCTCTGAAATACAACATAAAATTATCAGAGACTCCATCAAGTACAATTGTACTCGATAACGCAACCCTACTCAGTCTCCGATCTCCAGGGATTCTTACTTGGGTCTCCCACCGACCCGGTGTGTTCGGTAGTACGGGCCCAATACTACCGACCACACCGTGTCAGTATTCGTCCCAAATCTTCCTCCCCAAACCCCGAATAGTGAGTACTCTACCTCTAGTATGCACTATCTACCTGCACGCTATCGAATATCTCATATAAGCAAACTCCCTAGACTCTAGTCCTATCATGAATACCTAGTCTTCTAGCATGCATAACAATTCATAATTCAGTGCATAACATAACATTGTAAGGTATTCTGGGATCTTTACCGTTCGGGCGCTGGCTGATCGTACACACTGCTCCGTTCTTGTTTACCACTTTACCATTTATAAAAATTTATGTCTTTATTATTTTTAAAAGATTTTTCCTCAAATCCTCGGTTTGAGTTCAGTTACACCCGAAGGTACACCCGAATCCCTCAAACCAAGGCTCTGATACCAATTGTAACAACGCAAATTTTCAAACAAATTTTTCATTTAAAATAAAGTGAATTATTTCAACCAAATATAATTATTCCAAATTTCATATCAAAATACAATCATAAAATCCCCAAGATCTCAAAACATCAACAGTGTGTACGCGTCATGCCGGCGCCTTCCCACGGTCCTCGCTAGTACCTGAAACACATACATGACAACTGTAAGCATAAATGCTTAGTGAGTTCCCCAGTATACTACTTACGCATATACGCCTTTCCAGGCCTTGAGATAATCGCCTTCCGGCCCATAACATATTGCCTTCCGGCCCATAACATAATGCCTTCCGGCCCATAACATATTGCCTTCCGGCCCATAACATATTGCCTTCCGGCCCATAAACATACACAGCAATTAATACATTAATTTTAACACATATAGCACATATATCATATATCATATCCGACCTTTCAGTCACATAACATATTGCCTTCCGGCCCGTATAAACATACATAGCACGCTTAGCAAATACCTTACCATTTATAGCACGTATAACACAAATCATATCCGACCTTCCGGTCACACAGTCAAACCCTTCCGGGTACAGTATAGTGAGAAGACTCACCTCGTGGTAATGAAAACTATCAACTCTTGAAATCACTCGCACTCGATCCGCCGATCTGCAGACTCCCTATAATACCATATACCCTTATTAATACTCTTATCATTCAAGACAACTGACCCTAAGAAATTATATGCAGGTCAACTCTGGTCAACGGTCAACTGGACCGGACTCGTCGAGTGCAAAGGTGACTCGACGAGTCGAGACGTCCTCTCCAACTTTCCCTGATGTTCCCTTTCTACTCGTCGAGTATCCCCCTTGACTCGACGAGATCCACGTGGAAGAATCGCGGGGCCACCCCGACTCCACTCGCCGAGTCTGAAGAACAACTCGGCGAGTCCCAGTGAATCTTCAAGCTACTCGCCGAGTCTGTTCATTGGACTCGGCGAGTCCATGCCATGCAGTCGATCAACTGCTTCCTGAAATACGTATGGTCCCGAAATACACAATCATGGGACTTTCTGGACCTCTAAACATCCTATTACTGGGGTATAAACGTTTGGGTAACAACATAATAATCCATCTAATCACCAAATGGGTTTCATAAACCCTAAATCCGTGTACACATCAAAATAACAGGAATGATCCGAAGTATTACCTGAAAAACGTACTCTCTGTGTCCCCAAACCTCAGAACTCGATCCCTTGATCTTCCTTTGGCCAAAACCCTTCCTCTTCTTGCCTAACAAATTCTTCAAAGGTTCCAATAGCCTTCACTCCTGCTCTAGATGTCCACAGACGCTTAGGTTCTTCTCAATCGCCAAAAGACGGACAATGACGGCCTAAAAGGCGTTATATACGATCCAAAACCAAACGGCTAGGGTTTCCGCTGAACAGCGCAGACTCACCGAGTCCATAATGGACTCGTCGAGTCCAGTCGCGAACCCGCGACCCAGTCTGTGGTCCTACTCGGCAGTCTGGCTCCAACTCGCCGAGTCCCTTCCTAAAACACCCCAAAAACAATATTATAAAAATACCTGAAATTCCGGGCTGTTA